TATATTTAATTAGTTAGCAATTATTCGTGGCTAGCAATCTGTCTTTCTTTCGTCAACTCGCGGAGTTTGCGTTTGATCTCGAGAAACCGTGACTCATCCATTTTCTTCGTTCAGAAGGTTTAGGATTATTCTAGCGTAAATCGTTAGCGAATAGAGGCGCTCACTTTCAAACGCTTCAATTTACATCTCCCCTCGAAGGCTCCAAGGGTTTTTAATGGTTCGACACAGGCAGACACACAAACACACGTACACATATTTACGCATATACATTAAAAATCATCTACACGTACCATACATAGAAAAATCTAATACGTACATGCGCATATACCTACACGAGCTGTTACCAAAAGACTACGATCATTTTAGACGCGCGAACACTATCTCTTGTTTCGAGCAAAATGTTGATACATTGCTTTCTTATTCTCTCGCTACGTATATTTAAGGACGCCGATGTTGTAGCCGATAATAGCTGATAAATTATACGAATACTTTTACGAGACAAAGGCTGTTGTTGTATTTATTGTTTAAAGTTCGACGATTGTTCGTAGCTGCACACGAATATGATATAGTATACTTAATATAGTATACTTAATATAGCGAGCAGGATCCTCTTTCGATTGAAGCTTTCTCGAGATCACACGCGAATCTGATTCGCGTGGTCGCGTTCAGAACGGAGCGTAACAAATGCGTGACGTCGAGAAGGACCACGATGCATTTTTCATCGGATACCAAAGCGTCGTACATACGAAGATGTTCGTTTTTTTTTTTTTTTTTTTTGCGTTTGAAATTTCACGTGGATCGTCATTCTCAGACACTAGACGATCGTTTCTGGGAGATGAAGAAAGGGGAGAAGAACGACGCAACGCGATTAGTTCGCCGAATGGAGTAGGTTTAAAAGAGAAAAGAGAAAAAAAAAAAGAAAGAAAGAAAAGAGAAAGAAATAGCGGAGAAAAGGAAAAGAGAAAACACGGGAAAGGAACAAAAGAAGGGAAAGAGGAAGGAGCCACGCCACTTATATTAAACGTACTATAATAACGCTGCATAGCGATTTGTTTCTTCTCGAAGTACACACGTATACATATACATATATAGGTTCTTTCCTTCGTAGTGCATAACAATAATTAATTCTGGCGTATTCATTGCGTACTGTATAAATGTATACATAGCGTAATGTATTAATTGCGTAATTACCATCCGAATGGCGGCGATTTTAACGGTTCCCATGCGCAGGGGAGCCGCTAAACGCCCGTTATAAAGTGATTCATAACACGTTATTTCTATAAGAAGAAAAGACTCGGGCATGTTAAGATGCTATATACAGTGTAAAACAAAGAAACCAAAAAAAAAAAAA